TATGTCGTGTTTATTGTTAACAATGGTAGAATAGTTGTGATTCTACTACTGCAACCAATAGTGGAAAAATCTGCCTTTATTATTTAATTTTGTAAAATTAAGTCTGTTATGAAAGGTAAATGAATTGCTTGTATTTATTGATTTAGAAACAAGGTTACTTAAGCAACCGAAGCGGAAAGACACGTTCTTCTGAAATATGATGTTTTTAATCCTTTATTATATCAGCTACCTCAAAATGTCAGAGAACGCATCAAGTACTTAATATTTTTTACAATCGCAAAACCTTCAATCGAAAAATGGGCCCCGCTTTTATAATTCGCGCAACTTTTCTTGAACGATGACCTTACTTCCCCCTCTCTGGCACAATAAACAGTTGAAGACAAAAGCTCGCAGCGAGCACTGATGACATTACAAACACATCTTCATTGGCACGAAATAGAAAATATTTTCTGTTGAATACAACAACTTCTGTCCGTTTTTTTTTTTTTTTCCTCCCAAAAAATCTAATGAAATATCCGAAGGTGGTGAAGGACCATCACAGAAGATATTTCGAACTGCTGAGAAAGTTATAACGCAAAACATTGAGAAAATGGCGGAGGCGCGAATGGTTCTCCAGGGATTGGCATTGCTTCATAAAATGTATGGGCTGATTATGTGACTAATACCCCCACTCTACCCATATTTTTTCAGTCCATCGTTCAAGAAAGGTTTGTTCGAGTAATACCTGGGTCCTCCCTCCCGCATTGCGGGCCTCGCGGGCACGAACGTTACGCCTCTGAAAACCCTTTCCATCTGGGTGTGCTAGATTTTCCTTTCTGCGCAGCGTAGCTCCGCAGCAGAAGCAAGAAATCCCAGCGGGACAGCTCCCACATGCGGCGCGGCGCGCCCCGGGAGCAGATCTTTTTTTCTCGCGACCCCCTCCCCCAACCCTGCGCGCTCCCTCTCGCTCGCACTCACGGACGTGTTCTCATCGCGCGCAGATGTGCTGTGCGCCTCGCCTCGCATCACTCGACCAACTTTCGGTGCCTCCAGAGACATGAGCGTGGGTTAAGGAATGTCATTTTGTCGAGTTCGAGCCGGATAGATAGGAGTGAAAAAGAGAGAATCGAAATGAGGAGAGAAAAAAAACAGGAAACGAAAATGATTCAAATATGTTCACTTTTTTTTTTTTTTTTTTTTTTTTTTTTTTTTTTTTTTTTTTTTTTTTTTTTTTTTTTTGTAAATGTATGGTATGTACAGGTCTGGATATGTAGAGTACGGCAAAAGACATTGAGAAGTGAGGGTTGGAAGGATGTTGAGCTTAGAACGCAACGTCCCCTGGACCTCCAAGTATTTAAACCAAATTAATATTTTATAAACTCTATCCCGTATAAATGGCATGTTATGCATAATACTTACGAGCGATGAAACTGTACTTCCGTCTTTGTCTCGCTAAAGGAGCGCAGACGTGGGTCAAACGATAACCCATTTACTCATAGATAAAAAGAAAGACTTCACACCCTTTCCTTCGCTACAGAGCTGTTGAATCAGATTTCCTGGAAGCGTTCGCACATCCTGTGCTGCACATTTTCATTTTATTATGATTTGCATCCTATAAAAAACCGAGTACGTAGAACTTGCCTGACCACAATTAGAAACAGAACCTTCCCAATTCAACTGTTAAAGCTGTTCAAAACGCATTGATCTCATTTTTTAATGTGTAATAAGTTCGCTTTGATAACGTGAGATTGTGTAGTAGATGCTACACCGGAACCGTATCGCCAGGAGAGCCATTAACGTTTTGAGGGGAGATTCCATTAATAGAAGTCCGTTTTCTTTCTTTCAGATGCTTCAAAGAGATTTGCTTAAAAAATATGCCAGAATCATAGAAAACGTGATAATGCGGAGAAAATGTTTTTTCTAGAGATAAGGGAACATATAGTACGTTCCTCATGCGGTGACAACACAACATCCAGACCTCCGACAACCGCTAGATGTCGAACCAGGTTTTAGCAGCCCATTTCTCTTGTTGTAGGGTTGCTTAGGAGCGAATTTTCCGGGACAATTCGGTATTCAAACGACGAGGACTAGCGGGCGACACTGAAGTCCGTCTCTGTTTCCTGATTGCTTCCACTCATTCGAGATATCTCTCCCGACAGTCCTTGTTTCCGTTGTTGTTAGTTAATGTACTTACATATTAATAACATAAATGTAATGTTGACGCAGTAAATGTTAACTAATTTCCACTGAATGCGGTTTGTTGTGCGACTGAACCCCGACTTGTGTAGTCTTCATTTCAATTTTTATTTTTGGATATACCTCAAATGAATCCCCTTAGAACATTTTAATTTTTTTCTGAAAGATGCCTTCCAAAATTCACATTTCAAAATTAAAATTTTCTGAAAAATTGATTCACTATTTTGCTCGATTGTGACTAGTATACTTACAAGTACTGAAAGATTCCGAGTTTCATTTAAACCTCTGATGTTTTTGAAAATTGTCAAAGTTCAGCTTTTTATCAGCTAGTCCAACACCTTTGTAGTTCAGGCTAGAGATGTACGCAGTATATTTCTATATTTTATCACTTTATGGTTTCAACAATATTCGTGGTAAATTTTAGTCAAAAAAATGATTTTTTCCAGAAAAATACATTACTATTTTCCTAAACACTGCATGTTTCAATTTTTTCGTACTGGTAAACAACAATATGCTCAATCACGAACGGCAAAATTCACGTGTCGAATACAATACACTGTATTGCATGGCTTAAGTGTTATTTTCATTACATCTTTTGAATTTTCAAAAATTAAACTTCATAATTAGAGGAGGATTTTGATTACCTAAAATATTGCCAAAAATATCAATAAAGTGCTCTTAAAATGCTTTTAAAATGCACTATAAACAAAGAAAAATGGCGTAAAAAATTGATCGAAACCAGATGAACAACTTAAGCTGTTGGGTATGTTACTGATATAATTGAGACTTCTTCCCTTTTGTTCAAGTGAACTCAGCTTGCAAACTTTGGGTTTGGACTGTTCCTTAAAAGAAAATCTGTGCCTTTATTTATAGAGGAATCGGCCGAACAGACAGTGGCGCCGATAAACGTCACAGAAACCTAAGATTACAGAATTCTCACAACGGCTGACATTACAATATGTGAGCGAAGAAATCGAATTGGTTACTCACGAATTCTGTGGTGAACATTTGTTGCATCTCATAAGTATTATTTGAAGCAAGAACCATAAAATTGTATTAAAGTCGATGAAATTAGCGACGAAAACATACGTAAAAAGTTAAAAAATGACTTATTAGTCGAAACCATCGAAAAGTCCAAAAAACTTATAAAATTGAGTCATTTCGTATTGTCTTAACATAAAATGAATTTATATACTAAATGGTATTGATCTATAGTGAAAAGAAAACAATGACATTTCATTAAAATCCGCCCCTATACATAACAGTTTTCGAATCTCTCACTTTCGTTGGGTAAAGAAAGTTTTCGAAGAGATGGTCTAAGCTTTAGAAGACAAGTTTAAAGTATTTAATATAACTCATGATGAGTCCTGGTATCAGTTCTTTGAATTGTTTGCATCATCTCCAAGTGAGTTCTGTGAAATGTGACCATTGTCCATAAATTTCCACAGCCTGAGACAGTAAAGGATTACTCACTCTACGAAATGATACAAAAGCGCTCTTTTTGTAACACGGCTACAAAAAGAGAAATAGTACGATAGGGTTTCTTTACAAAGTAATTCGATTTATTTTCGTTAAATACAGTAAAAATGCATTGTTTTGTATGTGTTGAATTATCTGTGGCCTTTTTCTTGAGCTCCAGAATTCCTTGCACACCTTTCTAGTTTACGTAATTTAATGATAAATGAAAGTACCAACAAAGTAACCTTGGAAACTAGACATATTCGCTCTCGAGTAATAAAAAAATTATTTATTCCAATAAACACTATTATTTTATTTTTTAGTATTGCTAACAAAAATGAAACGAACACCTCCGGCTCAACTCCAGTCACAACTAATAAAAGGTGAGCTGAAAAAAACATGCACATAGTGGAATTACATTTATGCCCATAACCAAACCAAAGGGCATCTCAACATTCATACAAATGATCAGGGAAACTAGGCGAATAAAACTCAGAGGCGAAAGAGGACCTTTAGCAAGTGATCCTGGCTAAGCTACAGGAAAACGATTTACTAAAACAATGTCGATGTTGGTAGCTCGTGACAGTTTTCCCAAGCAGACAGCGTGCTGGCTTCTTTTCTCTACGAAACCGTACCAAAGCAACACAATCAGCAGCAAGGCTGTTGATTGATTGATTAGTGATTCCGGATGCTTGAACAGCTAAGATCATTAGTCCCGTAAGTGTAGTAGTGTACTGCTCGTGTTATGGCTGTGATCTTTCCCCACTAAATAGTGAGATCTGGTGGCGACCTGCACGTCCACTAGCGGTTTTTTTTCCAACCAGGTATCTCCCACCAGCGTCGCACCCCCCCTCCCCACCAGCCGGTGCAAGCTCTAAGCTCCCGACCGGTTTTCCGACAATTCTGCTAGTGAAGTGCATGCGCAAGTAAGAGATAAGGATAGGGGAAGGAAAGATTGAGCGCGGTCCGTGGCCCGTTTGTTAGGGAACTATTCCGGCATTCGCTAGAGGTTCGTGGGAGAAACCACGGAAAACTACCGATAAGAGCAACCAGTTGCTAGAATTCTCCTCCAGACAACGACAGAACTCGACCTGCTTAGTAGGTAGGTACTCGAACCTAGGACCTCCCAGTCAGAGACAGAGCAGTGAGTGCCCTGAACCATCTCTCCCGGAACAAATAATTTTAACCGACCGTGTGTGAGCTGACTAGGGGGAAAAATCCGTACCTAGTTGTGCGCCGCCAGCGGTTGTTGATAGCGCCAACGTCTTCCAGCGGGCTGGCAACGCCGCGCGGCTCTGGGGGCAACGCGGGGGACTTCCTGGCCCGGCTGGTTGGCGGCAGGCGGCGCGGCCCGCGCAGTGCGCGATATGGCTGGCGCGGGGCTGCTCCCGCTGTGGCTCCTGCTGCTCTCCCTGGCGGCGCCGCTGGCCTCGCCGTCGGCGTCGGCGGGCGACCAGCGACGTCTGCCGATGCTGCCGCCCGCGCGCACCGCCTCCACTGCAGCGCCCGCGCCCGCGCCCGCACCAGCGTCCGTGCCCGCGCCCGCGCCCGCGCCCGACGACCCGCCCCGCGAGCTGCTCCCCAAGCCCCCCATGGACCTGCCCAGGCTCTTCTCCGCCGGCCACGACACGCTCCGCTTCGTCATCGACATCGCCTGCGAAAGCCCCTGTCCGGATATCGTGTATTGGGAATACAAGGTACTTGTTGCTTATTCGACCGGTCGACTAGTGGGCTTCCGAGCGCTCATTGCTTAGGCCCGTGAGTATAGTGCATGGTTTTATCATTGTGGTGGCGGTGATCTTCCCCTTGGAGATCCGGCGCCGACCTACACGTCAAATTGCTGGAATTTCCCCCAAACCAGGTAACTCGCACCATCGCCAGGCCACCGACCTAGAGGGGACTAGCTCTAAGTTTCCGACTGGTCTCCCGAAATGTGTGGTACTGTAATGCATGTAAGTGTGTGTATAAAGAAGAGGAATGTATATATGTACACACACACACACACACACACACACATATATATATATATATATATATATATATATATATATATATATATATACAATTTTTTTAAAATTTGAACATTGTAAACGACCTTTTTTGTTGCAAGAAATCGATCATAAAAGGGCATTTTACGGCACAAATGATAGCGTCATCACACATTCCGTCAATCGCAGCAAAAGAATCGCTAGGAGGTAGCGGAACGGAGCAGCCGCCCAACGTTTTTTCGTACAGACGTCAAAAACCAGAGGCGACTTCAGAAATTTGTTTCGCAATATTAAGTCTCATTCTCTTTTGCATTTATAATGCTAATATACAAAAAAAATATCGCATTTAGCTCGTTTATAATTTTGCTTTATTGCGTTTGAACAAATGTGAAAAATCACTCATAACCGTTTTCATGTAATAAAACGTAACATAAACTACTATTTCGTAATATATTTTGCTAATTGCGTTGCTGGGTATAACCGCCTACAAGCATTTTTTTTATTTTATGTAGATTATAGTTTGCTTGACACAATTCCAGATTAATTATGTTTTTTGCTAACAACCATTACCGCAATAATTTTATTTCCTGTGTTCTCAAAATAGAGCTTTTTTTAAAGAACCGTTTATCATATTAAATAATCTAACGCATATTACCCTGCATCGTCGCCTACTCAGTTCTTGTAGAATTTTCGAAGGCACCATTATCTTGTTTCTTTTAGTGATGTTGCTGCTTGTTGCTGATGTTAGTGCTATGTCATGTTGCTTTCTAACATTTCAACTCAGCTGCCTAGCTAGTGTCGAAAATTCGCCATGGTCGGGGCACCCGAGCTGTAGAACCTCGCAGTCAGAGGCACTGCAAAGACAATAGTAATACCGCCTCTGAGCTAACTCAGCCGGTGATGCGAGAGAGAGAAGAGGGTTACATTCTATATGCGAGATTGCACTGGTAGCTTATCTTACGTACATATGCGGAATATACTTCTGCACATCTATAGGTAGTATTTACTTTAATTCTTTATTCGCGGGTTTCATGAATTCTCTTTTTTCTCAGGCTGAAGAAGACACGGAATGGACCCCAATACCTGTATCCACTACTCAGACAAACTCTTCAAACTCATGTAATGCTATATTAAATCTTTCTAACCTGAAGACGTCCTCGAAGTATCTCGTTAAAGCCATGCCAGTTTTAACTGAGCACAAGGTGAATGCGAAAAATACGAAAAACTGGTATCAGCGCCTTCCCACCAAGCCGTACACTGAAACTGTCAGTGGTGTAACCTGTCCTGGTAAGTGTACTACCTAATAGTAAGCTTTTCTTATCATCTACAGAGGTTGGGCAAAATAATGTGCAATATAGTACATTATTTTTCATGTTGGCACTACTGCGGACGTGTCCATTCTGCGACGTGGCTGTATTGGACAAATGACGTTTAAGGTTTTGAAGTTTATATCGCAGTGTTATAGGTTTTTGTTACCTAGGCTATCCGGGACGAGCCGCATCACTGACATGGTGGCTAACGTTTCGGCCAGCGTATTGTGACCTTCTTCAAAGCTTACTGCTTTAAGAGCGTTCTGGCCAAAACGTTAGCCACCATGTCAGTGACGCGGCTCGTCCCGGATAGCCTAGGTAACACAATCTCCGGCCGCGGAAGCCTACGCAACTATTGTAGGCTTGTGTCTGCGACGGTGAACACAAGCGATCGGTGGAATGTGTGATCTCTCAGACTTCGAAGGAGAGAAAATCGTTGGTCCGCGGTTACCTGAAACATCTGTGACAAATAGAGCAGAAGTGTTTCACATTTCCTGCATCCAGGGTAACAGCATACACAAATCATGGTAAAACATCATCCGTGTTGAGGAATAGTGGAGGAAAGACGAAGTTAACTGACAAGAGACTGACGAACATTAAAAATATTTTTTGCCAGACAACGTGCATTGGGGCAAAAATGACTGCAGAATTCAACATTTACGTGAGTGATACCGTTTCCACAAACAACACTACGGCGGGAGCTTTACAAAGCTAACATTCATAGAAGATTTGCAATTACGAAACCCAACGCAAAGCTGTGAAAGTTGTGCCACGATCATGAAACCTGGACACTCGATGAAGGAAGAATGTGGTATAGTCCGATGAATCTCCGTTTACATTGTTTCCTACAAACTGCCCAGTTTATACATGAAGAATCCCGTAACAAGCTCACGATCCTGCAGTCAGGCATGAAGGAGATTCGGCCTGATCCGCAGTCAGGCATGATTTGAGCGGCTATGTCGTGGTATTCTGCGGGTTTCATCATTACCCTCACTGGCCTGATTGTTGCAAATGAATATCTCGTTATGATCAACTATGAAGTCCTTACAATGACTAGCGTATTATTGCCAAACACTGCAAAACTTGAAGATGCTAATGCGCCCATAAACAGCAAAAAGGTGGATCGGGGAACATCAGAATATTTTGAAACATCTTCCCATGCCAGTAAAATCCACCAGACCTCAAACATAATTGAACTTTTATGGAGCGTTTTTACAGCAGAGGTTGAAGAGCATACTTTCAGCCCCAGCATTGTTGAAGCAATTGGCGAATGTTTGGAAGTATAGGGGAACATTCCGTTGGAAACTATTCAGACACGCTTGAAATCTATATCGCGACGAACTGCAGCTCTTCTGGAAGTAAATGATTGCCCAACGTCTTATTAATAAATAAACAATTTTTGTGCCAAATGATCTTGTTATTTTGTCCAACCGCTGTATCTACATTGAGTTTTTAAATGTTGACATCGATATTAGAAAGGTATAAGTTACTTGTGGTATTAGAAAGGTATAAGTGATTAGTCAAAGAAGAGTACAACCCGTATGTGACGTATGAGGGAAAAGTACAACTTGAACTCTAGAATCTCTTTCCAACATTTTAACTATAAATAGTTTAATGAAGAAATAAGCGAAGTTACCAACTTTTGAAAACTAGACATTTTCACTCCCGAAATATAGAAATCTTATTTGCATTGGTAAACGAACAGGAGATTTTAATTTTTTGTGTTGTCAACAAAATAGTTACACTCCCACGGCTCTGCTCATACCACTAAGTCAGCTCAAAAAAACGTGCGCATAGTAAAGCTACAGTAAATGTAGTAAAGAAACATAAATTTTATATTCAGAATAAAACAAGGGGCCATCTCAAAATTGGCTCAGTGGGTCAGGGAAACGGGATAAAAATCTGATCGAAATGGGTGTCATTAACCGGAAGTTGAAGTACATTACTTTTTACAGGAATATTAAGTCTTTTTAAAAAAGGATACAATATAAATGTGAACTAGGATTGTTAAACATATTATTTTTATTTTTGGTGGTCACTATAGTATCTAATCGTATAGAAATAGTTATATAGCAGAAAATATTTTACTTTTGACGTAAATTTGTGAACCGAGTTTAATTGTTTAAGGCCTTCTAACAATGTGATGTAAATTAACATATGTATTATATGTCGATATCTTGAAATGAGCAGTTAATACTGACACTTGATGATTTTTTTCAGAGATTCTTTAAATTTTGTCTGTAAATGGAGTCCTTTCTTACATTTTACGAACTTCGTTCCCGAAAACGAATATGCAACGTACATCGTACACACTTCCAATTGAATTGCATATCAGGAGAGCGTGGTGACGAAGTGTGTTAAGAAGAGTAGATGTTTTGCGAAATAAAGACTCATTCACATCGACAAAATTCACACCGGACCCGTGAGGGTATAAATCTGTACAGAAGTACTCAATTATTGGATTAATTGTGACCGGACCCGATCCGGATAATCAAATATCCGGATAAATCGATAAACCATGAAAGAAGTATTTCTTTTAGAAAGCTAAATTTGTAAATACATACTTCTGTAAAATTTAAAACCCTGCACGAAACCTGGCCTGGTGCTGACGAACACAACACGCATATTGTTGTAAGATTTTGTTTTTAACACATACGCTGCAGAATGACGTTATAAAGGAAAAGAAACACCCAGTTTAGAATAACAACTGACGAACAAATCCAACTCTTATTGCTAAATTAATTTTTGTCATAGAAATTTATTTTTCGGCAAAGCCATCCGATGATTTTCGATCGAGTTAGCTGGAGATCTACAGTATGCTATTTTGACAAGTGAATGCGTTGGAAATTTAATCTCGAGGAGTGGTTAAATGAGTTGATTTCTTACCTTGACAATTATTGTAGAAATCGTACAAATAATTGTAACGATTTTGTAATATAATACTACTGAATCAGACATTCGCCTTATTTTAGAATAATTAAATGTTTACATCAAAATAAGCTTTCTATCATGTTATGAAATGCATTTAGTTATATCCATTCAAAAAGATAAATACTGTTAAGAAGATAGATACTGTTTATGAGACAATCTTGTTTTTAAAATTTCTTTTATTTCACAGAAGATTACACAAAAACTATTCATATTTAGAAAAAAATGTAGTGTATAACCCTATTTAAAGATTTAATTATGAACAATGTATTTCAATAAAAAAGATCTCCATCTTCAATATTGCAGGTGTAGGAGAATAGATATAGAATTAATATCTACTATTTATAGGAACAAGGATTCCCCGCTTTTTCGGTATTACTCGTTTACAATACATTTTTTCTGCCGAAAACATGACGTTTTTCGTTAGAAACTGTATAACTTTCTCGATACTACGTAAGTAGTATGCAACGATACTGTTCTTTTCGAAACTTGACTGGAACCTATTTGCCCTTTTGTCTGCCCACAGCCCAAGTGTCTGCTGTAGAGGACCTCCAGGTGCACTCGGCAGGTTCTCGCTGGGTGGTGTTAAGCTGGTTGCCACCCACGTCGTCGTGCCTCACCGAATTGGAATACGAGGTCCGAGTGAAGCCGGCCATGCTAGCTGGTAACTTTCCGTTCAAACACAAGGGTTCCTTGTGGAGCAACGCTCCTTGGACTGTGAAAAAACCCGCGATGCCTTGCATCTCGTGGCCAGACCGCCACTGCCTCCTAGTTCAAGAGGATAGCAAGATGAATCGCCTGGATCCCGACAAAGAATATCTGATAGATGTAAGTATCAGTTTCATGCAAACAAATTAGTATCTGGAGGCATGTGAAACAAGTTTCAAAATATGACAATATTTTCAATCAAAGTTATGTTGCTGGGCTGTGTATAGAGGCTTGTGAATTTTCAAAATATGTTTCCCCTGAGGTCTACAATTTTGGACACAGTAAATAAATCATTACGGCATTTCTAAACTCACTTGTGTCCATTACGTTTTTAATGGAAACTAATGGTGCAAAACAAACGCATACTTCGTTTTATAAGTAACGGTTACATAATCTGTTACGTAGTATAAGAGTGAAGTTTTTTTACAGTGGTGTCTCAAAACAATCTACCCCTTGACTGATTTCTGACAAATTTGGTATGAATACTTTTGAGGATCAAGAATCAAACAACATAGTTGAGATTCAAAATGTTAACCAAATATGTGCTTTTTGCTAAAAATACAAAATTGCTTTGGAGTATAGACAGCATAAGTATATGGTAGCACATTCATTGTTACAATTAAAATATCAAACAAATTAACCGAGGGCAGATAACTATCTGCCGACATATTGTTCTGTGGCTTTTCTGTAATATATACTTTATAATCAAGGAATTTTGTATATTCTTAATAGTAAATAAAAGATTGCTTTGTATATTAATTTACATTTGAGTAATTTGAATGCAACGCCGGGTGTTTTCTTAGTTATTAATAACATATTGTTTTTCAGGTAAGAGTGAAGAGGATTGAGGGGGGTAAAACAAGTGAAGAAAGAAAAATTGAAGCAAATACAACTGATTTTGGTAAGTAAAATCCAACAAATTTGAGAGAAAACAATTTGACTGTTGGATTCATTTCGTGTCTTGTCAAACTTTCATACTTTATTAAAGATTGATGACTTCACATATAATTCCAATTTACTCTTTGCAAGTTGTTGATTATACTAGATTAATTCTTTCATCCACGGTTTTTATATCTCGTGCTAATTTTATTTTTCTTATTAAAGATGTAACCCAAGAAAACTCACACGTAGCTCACAAATTTAGTTATACACTGAAGCATGTGATTATCAATTTAATACTATTAAGGAGCTATATACTTTGGCCAATCCTTTGGTCCCCTAAGATATTCATCTGGGGTGCTAAGGTCAGGGCATATTCACAATTTGCGACAACTACAATCACGAATGTGCCAGAGACCAGCACCTTTTTTGCCATTCTTGCTCGTAGGAATGCGTCACCACCAATAAAAGATCGAGGTTAAAAAAACATTGTCTGCAAATATGGGTGTTTCAAAAACTGGATTACTAGTCATTAATGTTCACGCAGGGTCATTTTATTTGTAGGGGGTCGCTTTAATCGATTTTAATTGACATAAAATCTGACAAAAACAGCTTGGATCAGGTCAATTAACAAAATTATCATTATCTCTTATTTATTCACCTTTATGTTCCCTATTATCATTTATTTTTCATCCTTGACACTTTCGTAGTGAATAATGTTCAATTTATGAATATCTAGAAATGTTAGGTTTTTATTATGCTGAAAATTTGTTCATTAAAAATTAAAATGTCAAGCGCGTAAAAACATCGAATATAAAACATCGAACCCAAAACATCGATTTCAATAAATCGACGTTAAGTACATCGATTATTTTATAAAAATATCGATGCTTTAAAAGCACCGACATCGACGACGCATTCCTACTAAGAATGTTCCCGTAACAGCTCAACGGTTATTTCACAGTTAATTACAGCTATTTCACAGTTTCATAACAGTTAATATTTTAATTGTTTTGCAAAATAGAAGTTGTTTCCTTTATCCTGTTATCGGCTGTTTTCAACAGAAATTTTTTGGTACAGCAACCCTTTGGGCAAAACCAGAACTACAAGCTTTTGCGGGATGCATTTTGTCACTTTTCTCAAAAGTCAATAAAATCCTTCATAGTTACCATTTCTTCCTGTATCTATTATGTGTTTATACAATTTCATGTATTATGTTGTATTTATAACCATTGTTTATTTTTAAGCTTATGACTCTCCAAAATGAGACACAAAAATTATTTCACGCGTCAGTACAGTTTAGACATTACTATTACTTCTCGTGTTGTATTTGATGATAATGTAATTGTTCACACCCTTGAAAGACAAATTTCTGTCGAACAAGGATCAATATTTATTTTTATGTTTGGGCATGCATTCGCTCTGATGCTGTCTTGTAGAAATTTGATTTACTTGTCCGATATAATGAAGGAGTACTCCAAACGCAGGCGCCCAATGCCGTTAGAGACGCGTTGTGACAACGTAGTCGCGATGTGACAGCGTAGTCGGTTTTTTTTTTTTTAAGTCCCTCCTTGAAACGTAATGCTGGACTTACATTAGCAATACGTTTCCGCAATATCTTTCAGCAATTTGTTTCTGCTTCTTGCGGTGATCTTTACACTAGCAAGAGCAAGGAGGGGCAATATCTGAGCAAGATCTTTCCGCCAAGATATTGCCGATCGCTTTACATTAGGACTGTTTGTTGCTGTGTTTCGTGACGGCGCAAGGAAAACGAAATGAAGTGAAGAGCATGAAATGAAGTGAGGTTATACCTCACTCACTTCCCGACATAGCTAGTGGAAGGCAGAAGATACGGGTTGCGGTCGCACTTGCTGTGCTAAATGAGGAAATGGAGTAATGTCGACGATTTGCGAGGACGCGTGACTGAATTTTAAGAAGAAAGGAAAAGGGGGCTTGTGCGATTTAGGTAGAAGTGTCTGAATATTTTTCATAAAACAAAATGATTTCGTGGATTTCGATTCCCGTGGGAGCAAAGTAACTTTCTTTTAATAAAAAGTGCAATTGCTAATTCGGCAAAAAGTTTTAAAATATCTTATTTCCTACAACTGATATATTATAGAGTAATCTTAAAATTGATTTAGATTAGGTTAATATCTCAATAATTTTTTACGTAAAAAAATTAATAATTAGGAGGCATCTATGGCTGAATCAAAAGTTGAGCCTTTGATAATCAACCATAGAGGGAATATTTATTACTACTTTTATTGCCGTAAACCTTCACACACCCATTTTGAGAAAAAATGCATATTAAAATGGAAATATTACGTCTATGTACAACCGTATGAGACTGTGGTTATCATGCTGTGGTTATCCTGCGTATGAGACTGTGGTTATCATTGGCTTCTTTCAGCAATATCTTGCTCAGACTTCAATCCAATTCTAGTCCTAGCAACAGCCGGCAATATCTTTCCGAGGATGGAAGCGCATAAATTTACATTACGACCGGAATATCTAGCAAGAAATATTGCCAACGTCAGAAATATTTATTGCCGCAATGTTTACATCGGCAACTTTTCTCGCGAAATAATATTGCTCGCCGTTTTCGTGCAAGTGTAAAGCCAGCTGAAGGCGTGTTGTGCGCAGCGCCGAGCCCGCCGCAGGAGCTGTGCTGCGTGCGGCCGCGGCCCGAGCGCCTGGAGCTGCGGTGGCGCGCGCCGCTGCGCCCAGGGGGCGTGCTCAACAGCGCCCACGTGCGCGTCGCCCTGGCCGCCCACGCCCGCGCGCACGCCCGACCGCTGTACGAGACAAGCTTCAACGTCAGCAGCGTCAACCGTACCTACGCCCACGTGGTACGTGCATTCTCTTGTACTCACTATCTGTACGTGTTTTTTTTTTCTTTTTTCTTCTTCTTCTTCTTCCCATTCTTCTTCTTCTTTTTTTCTTTTTTTTTCTTTTTTTTCTTTTTTTTTCTTTTTTTTTCTTTTCTTTTTTTTTTCTTTTTTTTCTTTTTAGTTTGATACGTAAGCCCCGCGGGTGGCTTATTGGTCAGCGTGCTCCCTTTTATGACGCGATCACGAGTTTGATTCCCGGTCGGGGCAGATTATACGAGTAGTATGCGCTTTCCCTGCAATGTCCCAGGATCTGTTGTAGTATCTGTATCCCAGTCCCATTGTCCCAGTATATGTTGCAGTGTGACGATGAGAAAGGTCATTTTCAAGTTGAGAAGACCAGAATACGGTGTTGGGATGTCTATGTGCTAACCACACATACCCCTGAACCCGTGGTCGCTAGGCCGGGACACCGCTGGGAGTCCCTTTCGGAAGTGTCGTGCCAGAACAGACACATATTTTTTGTGTAAATGACAACGTTACCAAACCATTAATTACCTAACATTATTTACCTCGACGTACTTGGAAATTTAAGAACATCTTATTTAATTTGAAAGAAACATGTCACTCAATGCATATTTTTTCTTACCAAACTTCGTGACCCCTACGACTCTTCAATATCTGCGTTCTCCTAATTTACGTATATACGAAGTACTCAGATATCCGTGGCTTGATGAAGATTGAGGTACTTGTAGTCATTCTCCAAGAGTACAGCTCTTCATACGTCTTGTCTGATAGGACAAGAGCCAATTCTCAATTGGCTCTAACTATAACGGTTTTGTGAGCTTCGGTGTCAATATTTGTTACCACATAAAGTGAATTTCGCATTTAAATTTGGCGTCAAGCCTCTGTCTCGTCGGTTACAATCCCTCCTTGGCCTTATTGACGATTGAACTGAAGGTCTTGCACTTTCGATTCGCGCGCGCTCAACAGTATTAAATCTCCTCGAAAAAGTATTTGGCCAAAAGGCAGGCGATACTCTGATAATGCAAACTATACATTCTTGGCAAACAAATAGCAACAAAAAGCTTCTGCTATGACGCCAGTTCCATGAAATTTTAGCCACGCCAAGGATTCCAGAAAATTGTGCGCGTCTATTTCACAAACTTTCCTTGGACGACGAAACGAATTGATACTGATAAGAGCTGTATTATTATCGGTGGTAAACACTTTTTTCATCCCTTCAGCCCTTATAAATTCATTGGAGAAGTTTTAACTACGCCTAATCATATTGTTGCATTTCTTTGATTTTTCATAATGTGTTCATACCCTTGTGAAACAAGTATATGAAACACTTCTTTAAAATATTGCATCTTGTACACCATCGTTTTACTTTTGGTTGGTCACCGTTGGAAATTGTCACTTTACGCCACCTTCAAAATGTCTCGTCACTCCTCGCTCTTCAAGGAACATGGCGGACAGCGTCTTCTGTTATATATATATATATATATATATAATATATTATATTATATATATAATATAAATTTATTTAATTGTTTGTTGATGTACAATGTTCAGTTTACAGTAAAAACACTTTTAGCATAATTGTATGATGCGGCTTAATCTAATTAACTTAATCTAGGTTTAAATTGAAACCTTCAATCTTTCAATTAGGACGGAAACAAATAAGCACCCTCACGGAGAATATAGTTATACACTTTCGCCAAATCAATCTGGTAGGAATATAATGTAATGGCTGGTGCAAGTGGGAATAATCTTCTACTGTTCTTAATTCTGGGTTTATTGTATCTGGGATCCCCCCCCTCAGCTTTCTGCCGAGGCTGTAGTGAGTGGTTATTTAAGAACAAAGTTAATGAATGGCTTTAATGAGATAAGTTTGTGTAAAAAGTGTTAGATGAGAGAATGCCTTACATTTGGTGAGATATTTCATTTATGTTGATGAGATCGTATGAAAGGTGTTTATTACTAATGAACCATGGTAGCTCTGTTTTATTGATCTGTAAATAGGTTGTTTGAATGAGTTGGAATTTGTTGAGATTGGTTTTAGCGCCATTGGTCCAGATCGGGCATGCGTAGATATTATTGCCCACGAATGAGTGATTTGTTATAGTGTTAGTGCATTTGACAGCTTGAGAGGTGGTTGTATCGAGTTTAGTAGAGGTCGTAGTTGGATGAGTTTGATTTTTTCCTGTTTGTTGCTTTTATCTCTATGTGTTGTATTCCATTAAGTTTAGTAGCTATCTTAAATTCCAATCCAAAATATTGTTATTGTTTTCGTGATTGGGGGTCCAGTTTATAGGATTATTATTTAAGACCCTCCGCCTGCAGCCAGGCCGAAGTGGATTATTGCTCCAAAAGGGTTCTTAGGTGAGAGAAGAACTTTTGCTGGCTGATTTTGCATGGATGTAATTTCTAATTTTCAGCTATTTTGCCCAATTTTTATTAGTATTTATTGTAATATTCTGGCTGTTGGAGCGGAATCTCGCTGAGAGATTGGTAGGAGTATAAATGAATGATGCCGGCGAGATATAGTAAAGCAGTGACTGTCGGCAAGATTGGGCATTTTAGTTTGATGGGACAGTAGGAATGTCGCCCTGCATGTGTTGTTCAGCGATTATATTGAGAGGATGCGAGATAGCCCGCCCGCCCCGTGAACCTTGGGCGACACCCAGCACAATTTATAAGTTCGTGTGCGGCGTGGTGTGTACCACGAATCAGATAGCACAATGAACCATCTATTGTTGACTGAAGGTAAAGCTTCGATTTAGATAATTAAGAGCTTTAATTATTTTGATGACTCTTAGATGTAAATGTTAATGTGTAGACTTGATTATGAACAACATAAATTTGAACGATAACAGCGGCTGGCGTAGATCGTCCCGAATATTATTCTATATCCAAATGCTATTTATATATCCGATGACAACATCAATAGAAAATACCAGATAGGCCGCCCCCTCGCCGTCGTGTGAAATCCCTTTTTTAGAAAGCAGAGTGAGTGCTCTTAGTTTACATTCTCAAATAGCTGGTCAGCGTCCAAATTTTCGTTTGAGTGTTGGTTTGAGTATTAACCGACAATTGAGTGATGATGAGATTATTATGAAGAGTGTTTATTTGAAATATGTGTTTGTTTTCTGGTGAGACATTTTAATTTTCTAAAATTTTGACATGATGGGAATGGTGTAAAACACAGACATAGATTGACTATGTTTAAGATTATAATGTTCTTAATCTGCACGTTGAATGATTCTTCACCTTCTCGCTCTCTCCGCGCTACTTGATGATTAATTGATGTGTTTCCTTATGATTGGAGATAATAACCTACTTTAGCTATGAGCTTGTATATTATTGTTAAAATGCGATGGCATTTATGTTTGTAATCTTTGAGAATGACCTAGAATTAATTCGATCGTTGGAACTGGGATGTCTCCTTTATGCCATATCTTCGGACTTTTTTTGAGTTGATTATGTCTTGTAAAACTTTCATAGGGAGAGCAATGTAATTTAATTTTGTGTTAGTGAACTATTTGCTAATAAAAGGAAGAATGCGTATTGAAGAATGTTTATAATGGTTCGATCAATCATGGCTTGTTATGTTTTATATGAGAGCAATTAGAAAAGTGAAAAAATTTGTTAATTTATTTTTTTTTTTGTCCGCTCTTTTAGCACAATGGCTTGCAGTTTATTGATCTCGGTCTTTCTCCATTAGCACGAGCGTATTTTTTCCCCGTTTCAGTTGCAGGGCGGGGGGATGCTGTTTTCCTGTTTCCTTAGAACTTTCTTTGTGAATTGCCAAGGGAATTGGTGTTAGTATTTAAGCCCTCAATAATGATTATATTTTCATTGGTTGTATTTATACTTATTGCCTTTTGCAAGGGATATTGTGATGTGATTAATTCTTTTTCAGTTCTGGATTTTATTAGCAGTGGTTCCAAGCCTTCTGTTATTTTTAACTTATTAGTTGCTATAATACTGGAGTAGTGGTCTTTTAAGTTTCTTTTCTGCGTTGTCTAATGTTTCATATGAGAGTCAATGATTGTTTGATATCATGATATTATTTAATTTAGCAGTAATTTCTTGAATTTAATTTCAATGGGACAATGAGAATTTTATGTTGTATTGCATTTTTTCAACAGAGTTTTAAATAATTTCCAGTTTATTATTAATAGGTATTAGGTGGTGGAGGAGGAGGTGGGAATGGAATTTGTGTTAATATTTATGATATAAGAAAACTATAATATCAACATTGGAATATTTGCAGTCTGAGTTCTAAATTCATGATGAATTGTGAGTATAAAAGGAGCTCCTTATCATAGATTTTATTGTGCTATATAGATATATCTGGTTTTTTTGGGTTTCATATGGGAAATGGGTTGGTTTGTTGGGCGTAAGTATTTTTAAGCTTGCATCTCTCCCCCCGCGTTTAATGTTCTGGTTTAAGTATTCACGGCAGGGATTGTTGGTCCGGACATCCCCAATGTGACAGAATGCTTCTGCATTTAATGATTCGTTCTACAATATGATTGAAGGATTTGTCAATGAAGTAATTTATTGAATTCTAAAGGATAGTTTATTCTATTTTTATGTTGTGAATGGTTTATACGTCTGCGCACTACGTTAGTGTGTCTTGTTTATATTGTTTAGATATTTGTGACTTTCCTTATCCCGATTGTTTCAATACCTGGATGTAGGAGTATCACTGCAATGTTATTTGTGGGTGTTGTGCGGCCCCATACTAGCTTAGATCAAAATTAAAGACCACCTCCATAATTTTGTTTTTCTGTCGGCCTCTGTATGATTTTGACAATCCTGGTTAGGAATGAGGGGGTGAACAACTATTATGGTTGTGCTGTCGGCTCAAATGCGTCTCTGGATGTGCATTGCGATGTATATTTTTTGCCCTGCCTAAGGAATGTTTATTCAAATTCGGTGTGGCTCTTCTCTCAGTTGCTTCTTAGGATGCAGAGTGTTGCATTCGCAATTTGGCGAATGGTTTAATGCTTTATGTGTGGAATCTTCCTTTATCTGGTTTAGATATTGTGGAGAGGTGATGGCATCTGAAATTATTGATTTTATTATTTTGATCATGAACACCCGAATAGTTGATGTAAGGTTACTAATGTAAATTGGGGCAAACATTTGTATGCATTGAATGTTATTGATTGAGTTATATAAAAGGAGATATATATGTCCGTTTAACGTCTTGTTGCAAATTGAGTTGTTTGTGCTGATTTGTGATATTTGTGGTAGGAGTAAACCTTTTTAGAGGAATGGTTGCATCAATTGGGGCCCAGTTTGATATTGTGATTTTATTTATAGGTTAAGCGTTAAAATAAGGATTAGGTCAAGTATTGTTAGTTGTTAAGGCAAGCAATGTGAGAGTTCGTTGAGTCATGATTGGTGGTGCGCCATTGCGTTGTTGTCGGGGTCTGGAACTGAAATTACATTTTTTGCTGTTGTTTTCCGACTATGTTCTATAATATGGGCATTCATTGACCTGAGTCAGCCCTGTGTTCCCCTGCAATTCTACCAAGTAGGCAGTGATTTTCTTTGATGGACAGTTTGCTGAAAGGTGGTTTTTTTGCACAGAAACACACCGAAATTCGTCAGAGTGTTACAGTATTTTTTACTGTGTCAAAGTCTAGGGCAACGGTAGCACTGAATAGGACCTACAGTTTTCTTTCTTCTTTTTCCGGCTCTGATACTACGGTGTGAGTTTGGCAAATGTATTTATATCCAAATAACACATTTCTATTTTGTCTGGTTCCGTTGAATTCTACCGCGACTACTGAGGGATCGGGGACATTTTTTCTTGTTGAGTCTCAGGACCTTCCTCGTTAACTGATGGAAATGAGATTCTCCCGATGGATTCTCTCTCGCATAAAATGTTTAAACGTATTCCTGGAATTTGTGGGTGCTGTGTAATTTATATTTCCTCACTCTGATTTTTTTTGGCTGATTGTCTCTTAAACTGATCTGATAAGAAAGTGACTAGTGGAAGTTATGTTTATTATAATTTATAAGGAGTAGATTTATACGTGCAGTGCATCTGAGAGTTCGGAACTATAATTACTATGGTGTATATATGCTAAATATTGTGTTAATTATTTCATATTTTTGTTCTTCGTACTGTAGTGTGTTAAGTGGTCTGTTAAACCTTATTCATGGTGATTTCCTTTATATAAATTCGTTTTATGATTGCTAATTTACACTGTAACTCTAAATAGGAGAGGAGTGTTTTTTTTTACTTCTATTGTATCTCAGGTAAATTCTTCGATTATAATTAAATATAGCTTTTACTACACATCGGGTTCGTAACATTTAGTGTTTTTGCAAGTGTTATTCGGTAGTTAGTCTTTCGTTGAGAAAGTTCTGGCGTGTCGATGGGTTCATGCGGTTGGTCTCTGTCACTGGCGTACGCCTTCTGTCTCGCCAGTTTCCGCTTGCATTACCTGTTTGTGTTGCGTCACTGAATGGTTGATCCGTTGTTTTGTAATTCGTTGTGTGATAGAGATGCTTGCCCAATATTCGATAGGGCTCTGAGCGATATGACAGTAGCTATTCCGCGAACTGTTTGAAAGAGTATGAAGTTGTTAGGCCTCACAGTTCTGTAACCTCGACCCCCCCCCCGCCGCGCCCGGTTTATGGTCTGCAATTACTTACATTCTTGAGACGCCAGCTGGACTGCCCCTCGCCAAAGTATAAAATACATATTCGGGTTCTGCTTGCGTTGGTCTTAGCAAGATCCGCTTTAAAGGTTTGGCAAATCTGTACACTATTCTACTGATTGGAGTGATATAATAAGGATTCTTAGCTTGAGAAACTAAATGCCCTATTACTTCTTTGTGTTCTGTCTTGCTAGAAGATCAGCTTCACCTCCGCCTCCAGACATAATTATATCCCAAGGAAAATGCACTTTATGAACATCTTAGCGTACAATAATACCACTCTTCGATTATATGCTCTCGCCGAAAATTACCTATAAAACTGTGTGTGTTATACTAGGAAGCTCGAGCTGTGCACCTGAAGAAAATTTTCCACCACTGTTTAGCGAAACGTTCGGAGCGATGTTGCTCGGTCGAGAGCGCAGAGCGAAGTGAAGAGCGGTGTATGGACAGCGTCTTCTCTGGCTTTTCGAACGCAGTACCCGTGCTGTGGTCACTTGGTTCGTGACGCAAACGGGTGCTGCGCTGACGAGCAAAAATCGATGCACCGGAGGGGCTTGCTCATCACTTTCCATCATGGTTTTAACTACTAATTAGCATAATTGAAACCCGGACTAAGTGCCAAAATATGAAATGCCAATATAAATATAATATATTACTATAATGGATAATAAAATATAATGAATATAAAGTATGAAATGCCAAAATATGAAGTGCCAATATATTATTTGAAATTCTCATTCTTAGGGGGTTCAAATTCTCGCCACTAAACTGCACAACAGTCAAGTCTCGCGAGCTTTTGAAACAGTTTCTCTTAATAACCTCGGAATCCCATTTTTGGCACGCAACACGGTGTTTACTTACTGCCTGCAACGCCTGGGAATAGGGAGTTTTAGCGTCAGGCGTAGGGAGATATCCTTAAACTCTATTGATCACATGACTAACGCCTTTATACGGTCGTAATGAACAACTTTCAGAAGAGTTTTAGCAATTGCGACATTGCGTTATGCATTATAACAAAGGAAGCATTTCAAGCATTGAACAGAGAAAATGCATAATATATCAAAGAGTGTAGGCTAGTGGTGAGACATTTGAAACACGTTACGAGTCAACAGAATAACAAATATACATTGTGCATTGAGTTTTAGATTTTGTGGCCCTCCGTGATGAGCATGCAGTCTGGAACTTTGAATCGGCTTTTCTTGAAAATACAGGAGATGTCTTAAAACAGCGTTCGTTATGAGCATTAAACATAACCTGTCCCAAAGAAATGATTTAAACTTGTTTTTTCTTGAATTTCTTTCCTGTCACCCCTCCATCATATCCCGTTAACTATTGGCAGCGTTGTAGAGTTGGTATGAAATAATTGTAACTGCCTCACATACGTAAATCGGTTTATCCGAGTTGAAAAAATTAAACTTTTCCTATTTTTAGGCGGCCATTTGGCCGCTTGTAAGGTGACCATAGGGACTCCCACAGGCGGGCACTATTTATGAAGGTATAACGTCGTACCTTAGGCCTAAGGTAAGTCGTTATGACTTCAAGGTCCGCCACGTGACTTAGTGCATAACGCCGCTACCTTACGCGTGGCGCTAAAACTGCCTAATGTGCAGCCGGTCGGCGCGCTGTGGCTGTAGCGACGGGCGCGGCGGTTGGTCGGCAGGTGAGCGCGGGGCTGGAGGCCGGCCGGCGCTACGACGTGTTCGTGCGCTTCGGCACGCGGGCGGGCAAGGCGGGCGCGGAGGCGCACGTGGCCGTGTGGCTGCCGCCGTCGCGGGAGCAGAGCCCGCGCGACGTGTGCGAGGCGCTGGGCTACGAGGTGCCGTCGTCGCTCACGGGGCAGGGCGGCGGCGGCGGCGGCGGAGGCGCCCTGCTGTGGGGGCTGGCCCTGCTGCTCATGGGCCTTGTGGCGGTGGGCGCTCTCTTCGTGGGACGCCGGTGAGTAGCCTCTTCGGCTCCTTGGAAAACTGCTCCTTTGAAAACTGCTCCATCTCGTCTCGGTAGCTCAGGCCGTCCACTGTTATCATTGCCCTGCCCACGACCAAGAGTTCCACTCCCGATGGGGGCAGGAATTTTGACTCTGGCTACGTAGTTTTGTCAAGTTCAGCCGGTGTCTGGAGGAGAATTCTAGTCATCGGGAGTTTTCCTTGCTGTCTCCGATGAAAATTAAGCAAATTCCAGAGCAGCACCCTGACAAACGGGCCACGGACTGCGCGCAATCTTTCCTTCCTCTTCCTTGACCTTTTCTCACCACTTACACACACTAACATGCACTTCACCACCACACGTGCCGGGAGACTGGTCGGGAGCTTAGCGCGTGTCTCCATTGGGGCGGTGACCCGGTTGTAAGAGATACCTGGATGGGGAAAGCCCGCTAGTCGTCTTGTACGTCGGCGCCGCATCTCACCATCTAGCCGGATTACCGCCACCTTCCAAGATTTAAAAAAATCAAGTACACTTACGGGACTAATTAGCTTATCTTAATGACCCGCCCGGAAACACGAAATAATCAGTCATCATCCTTCCAAGTCCTCTATCATCTGCGCCTTTCATAGTAGTATATGATTCTTCTAACAGCCTCAGAAACACTTAGGCATCGCTGAAGAGCGCGGCGCTCTACGAAATTATTCTCGCGGCTGCCAAATCGGCTGGAGCGCCAATTGATGGCCCCTGAAAGAGGCAGTTCAGTGCGTGTACTTGGAGTTAGAGTTCGGAATTGTCAGGAGTAGTTTACATTGCTCCAATACGCCATCAAGATTGTAATAGGTACAAGTCATGTAGAAGACGATAAGAGAATGTGTAAGCGTGTCAATTTAATCATCAAATAAATGTAAACGTATAGATCGTAAATACCGAATTTATAAAATATTTCCGCGTTTACTTTCATCACATTTTTAATAAAGCACGTAATACGCTAAATATTAGACTTATTTATTGGAAAATGTTTATTCTGATGAGGCACGTTATCGAGCTGGCTTGCTCGGAGGGTTACATTTAGATTTAGATTTATTTAGTCAAAAAAACAGTAAAAACTGTTTGTGACGTACGTGGGAGATCATCTGCGCAGGTTTTCTTGAGTTCCGTAATCCTTCCCGTCATTTTAACTATAAATTGTTGAAACGTGAGTAAAAGTGAAAGATAAATAAATAAAAATGAAATGTAAAAAGCGGAGATTAGCAACATTTGAAAAAATAGACATTTTCATTCCCGAGTTTAGAAACTTATTTTCAACGGTAAACGAATTGCAGGTTTAATTTTTCTGCATTGCTAACAAAATAGTATCTCACCCTTACCTATACTCCTATCACTACAAGCAAAAGGAGAGTTTAACAAAACGCGCGCATAGTGAAGCTACATTTACGTCCAAAAGCAAAATCCATCTCAGCATTTCTCAATGGATCAGGGAAATTGGACAAAAATCTGATCGAGATGGGAATCATTGACTCGGAAGTTGAAGTACACTAAATTTTATTCAGAAAATTATAAAATAATATTACTTAAAAAGGATGATTCAAGGTGTATTTTTCTTGTATTGTTATAATCTCAATGATATCATGCGAACATTTTCCAGTTGTGTAATAAATGTGAATTACTTCTACGTGTTAATCACCGAAAACGTTATAAATGTAGTATGACATTAATTAATGTCAAAAAATCACCCTCATGACCACATACAGACAATATACAATATCCTTTTTTTTCAGATGGGGTTCCCGAAAACGGTGGTCAATATCATCCCAGGATGATTCGAAATCCTCAGGTGAGTTTTTAGAAAGCTTGACGATTTATTCGTAATTTGGCTTAAGATTAATTTTTGGTTGTTCAAAAACATTGTTCAGACGTTCATCTGTTATGACTCGCTTTTTCGCGTTTCATCTGTTATGACTCGCCGCTCTCATGGGGGAATATTTATTGAAGAACATTTAGTGCAATAGTGGCAAGTTCAAACACTTTCGATTGTCATTTTTTAAATGTAATTATTTCGGAACAAATGTACCTTTACACTGAAATTATTGTTCACATCAAATAATATTATATAACCCCATTTTCGTTTTATATACTTTTTAAAGGGATGGCATTGGTATTTTGTTGATATTTTAGTTTGTGGTATTTTCCGTAAGTTAGTAGCAGCTTTTGCATTTTTTGTTCCATTTTCAAATGGCAAAATAAAGAGAGAACAGAGCAGCGTCTGAAGTTCTCTTTTTTTGCCGCTACTGGTTCACAGCGCTATATTTCTTCCCGTTGTCGTTTACTGTGAAGCACATGTATCTGGAATTCCCGCTCGCGTCCTTGCCGTTGCGAAATCGTTCTCATCTTGGGCTATTGAGGAGCGGCCTTTAGGGTGAAGAAAGCTGAAACTTTAACAGACCGAGCGATTGTTATAAGAAAGGACCGTTTTGACACCTAGTGCTGGCAACATAACTGAAGGTTCTGCGGTCGTTGTGTCTTTAAGCCTATTAGACTCTCCTTCCTCCATTCGTTCGTTTGCAGATGGCTAACTTGTAAATGGCTTCGACGCCTCCTTTTGTGAAGTCCTCGTCCAACGAAAATATAGTTCGCCACGAGAAATAATTGAAATTAGGAAGTGCTGTGCTACTGTGCTCTTCTGTAAACATTATTACGTGTATTTGAAAGCCGAGTCTTGAATGTCAGACGCATACTGGCGCACGAGTTTCCTGCTCCTGTGCGGTGAAGTGGCGAGCTGTGATCGAGATCGATCGTTCCGTGGTTTGCGTTTTATCAATTATTTTTTATATAATTACACGGTTCTGAACCATGAGAATCCATGATGTCTTAACGGGAGCCATGTACAAACAAAAACACTTCACGTGGAGGCCTGTCTGAACAGCTGTCTAGACGGAGGAATTCTTCCCAGAATTGCAGGCGACGTTCACCTGTTGCGTGCGAGCTGTAGGCATTTTTATGTGCACGTAGGCTTCCGCGGCTCGAGTTCATTACTTCATTCGAGCTTTACTGTGTCACTACCCTGAAGAAGCCTGCGACATGACAGGCAAAACGTCGGCCTATCTGCCAACGACGCGGCGTCACCCGGACAGCCTAGAAGTACTGTAGGCATTTTTTGTCGCGCTCTGAGGCGTATTCTTCCCCACTGCGCAGGGGTGGGGTCCGGCTGCAGCAGCGTGGGCGACGAGGCGTCGCTGTGCGGGCCGGCCGCGCCGCACGCGCCGCTGTCGCAGCCGCCGGCGGCGGCCCGCGCCGTTTGGGAGCTCGAGTACGCCGAGGTGACCCCACCGGCCACGGGGCGCGCGCGGAGCGCTGCCCCGCGCCACGACTACGAGGAGCTCCTGGGCCGCAGCGACGACCAGGTGGGTGCCGCACAAACCCTCCAGTTCCCTGGACGACGCTTCCGGGCACGAAATTTGCCATGCACGTCATTAGTCCCGGTAGTGTAGTGAATGATTTTATGCCGAGGGGTTCCTTATGCGGAGTTCCTTCCCGGCTGGATGGCCAGATCCGAGAATCCTAGCGGGGTGGCCCCTCTAGGAATCTATGGTAGTGCGGCACCGCTCCAGCCGAGACAATCTCCAAGCTCCTGGCAGGTCTCCCTATGTGTGGTAGGATAGAGTGCACGTACATAGTGAATGAAAGGGGGTGAGGATAGTAAAAGGAAGAGGAAAGAAAGGTCGCGCGTGGTCGGTGACCCGTTTGCAAGGGATCTGATTGGCCATTCGTCTAGTATTGATCGCAGAAACAAGCGAAAACTTCCTATCAGAGCAGCCGGACTCTATAATTCTCTCCTAGCTAATAGTTCAATTCGACCTATCAACCTAGCTGGTGTCGAAAATTCGCCACCATCGAACCAACTCGACTCGTAACCTCCAGGTCACACACACTGCAGTGGCAACAAGAGAATTCTAGCAGTGGGCTGCTCTGATCGGTAGTTTTCCGTGTTTTCTCCCTGCGATTCCAGGCGAATACCGAGACAGTACCCTAACAAGCGTGCCAAGAATCTCACGCGATCTTTCCTTTTTCATCCTTGACCCCTCCTCTCCCTTTAAAAACTGTTACAATGATGTGCACTCCGGGCGCTTAGAGTTTGTCTGTGCCGGACCGTTGCCCGGCTGGCGAAGATAACTGGGAGGGGAATGCCCGCAAGCCGACGTCTAGGTCGGCGCCAGCTGGGATGAACACCGCCCCCTCTCCCCCCGGATGTAACGCGAACTACCGTCGGAGGCGTAATGAGCAGAGTGGTTGGTGTCGCCAGGCTTACGCGGAGGTGCGCCAGCCCGGGGCGCCCGCCCACGCGCCCGCGGCGCCGCCCGACGCCGCCGCAGCCGCCGCAGCCGCCGCCCGTGTACGCGCAGGTGCCAAGCGCGCACCCCCCAGCGCCCGCTGCGCCACCAGACGCCCTTCTCTTAGCCGCCTCCGGGCAGGAGAGGCAGACGACCAAGGGGCACCCGCTCTCGCTGCCGTTGGCACGGCCCTAGCCCACGGCTAGACGGGATGAATACACACACACTCTCTATCTCTCCTCTCCTCCCCTCTCTCCCTCCTTCCCTCTCCCCCCCCTCTCTCCTCCCCCTCTCTCCCTCCTCCTCTCTCCCTCCTCCTCTCTCCCTCCCCCTCTCCCTCCCCCCGTCTGTGAACAACGTTCCTACGTCCAGGGCTATTAGGATGAACTTTCTCTCCCCATCCCTCTCTTTCTCTCCGCTCCCTCACGCCTCTTTCCCCGCCCCCTCTATCTTCTCGTCCTCTCTCTCCCTCCCTCTCTCTCCCTTCCCTCTCTCTCCCTTCCCCTCTTCTCTCCCTCCCCCCTCTCTCCTCTCCCCCGTCTTTGAACAACGTCCCTACGTCCAGGCTATTGGATGAACTTTCCTCTCCCCCTCCCCTCCCTCTCTTTCTCTCCGCTCCCTCACGCCTCTTTCCCCGCCCCCTCTATCTTTTCTCTCCTCTCTCTTCCCTCCCTCCTCTCTCTCCTTCCCCTCTCTCTCCCTTCCCCTCTCTCTCCCTTCCCCTCTCTCTCTCCCTCCCCCCTCTCTCCCTCTCCCCGTCTTTGGAACAACGTCCCTACGTCCAGGGCTATTGGGATGAACTTTCTCTCCCCCTCCCCTCCCTCTCTTTCTCTCCGCTCCCTCACGCTTCTTTCCCTGCCACCCTCCTCTCTCTCTCTCGTCCTCTCTCTCTCCCTCTCTCTCGACACGTCTCCACGTCTACGTCTAATGGGGATGACATAGACCTCCTTGGCCAGAATCACTGTCCGAGGCTGACCCGTCGCAGGCTGGTGAGTCAATGCCCCACTTTTCATTCCAGGCAACGTATCATCTACATCAACGTTTCCGATCTCAAGCCCTCACCAGGGCGTTGGCCTACCAGTTCACGACGCAGCGTCGCCCGGACACGAAGAAATGAACGAACTCGATGAAGTTGCACATCCCACCGACACGTTTGTTCTTACATTTTCGAGAATTCTTGTTTGAATCTGGGTCTAGTGGAATGTACTAAAGCCCGATGGTCGACCTAAGCTAAATATCCGAGAATTACGACTGACTCCTACAAAAGTACGTAGTTAATATTAGGAATTTCTAATATTTTTCTTGTATCAATCCCTTGTAAAATAATGGTTGGCTTCATCGCTCCGCTTCACGTTTTACGAAACTCCTCCAGGCCCAAATCAACCACTTAGTACCAAACATTTTGTTTTTATTTGCAGCTTTCTGAGGAATCTCATGTCGGCCTAAGACCACGCAGTAATGAATGAATTTCTTTCGCAACTTTGGAAATGTTAACATTCCTATTCAATTCTCAAATACCATTAAAATTTAATAAACATTATCAAAATAATGCGATTTATTTGAAAAGACATATTTAATTGAATTTTTTAAAATTTCCTTGGCATTCGATTTCCGATGCTGACTGCTGACTGGCGCAATGTTTTTTGCAATGGACTAAGGAACTTCATGCAACCTGAAGTAAATAATTTCTATATCTTTTGTAAATGTTTATCTTCTTTAATATTGTAAATTGATCTCAATTTATTGTTTTATTTAAAAATAAAATAATTTTTTAAGAATATTTTAGCTTTCTTAATTGCCTGTGATGTCCTCTCTCTCAAAGCTCTATTACATAAATCATTTAGAGGATGAATCTTTACTCATCTGAGTCCAAGGTTGGCAAATTTTGAATGTTTGCAAACTATTTACCAAAATGGTATGCTTCAGGGCATTTAAGAAAAAATATTAGGCACCGAAATGGATATTTAATTATTTTCACACCTTTTTTTTAACACAAGGATTATTTTATCGAAAATTGAAGAAAAAAGTTTGTTTATGTGTTAAAAAATTTTTGTTTAAGCGGTCTCACTTCAAAATTGGAACACCTTATTTGGGTTCAATAATTAAAATGCAGTGCCTGCTTGTAGAAAAGAGGACAATGGCCGTAATGTAGTGTAAGCAGCAAACGCTTGCAATCACGTGCTGCCACCAAGCAGTGATAAGGCCAACTGTAACGGCAAAAAGACAGGTTTTATTAAAAATTTCTCCGTAAGCTACCTGAAATGGTTTGCTGAAATCATGAGAAACACATTGCCGAACTATAAAATAAATGAATCTTCGTACTGAAAATGGATTGCTACGAAGTGCAATATTTGATCCCATCGGGATACGAGCAATGGACTTGCTTGTACAGAGTACAATTAGTATGAAAGGTAAAGATGAATGAAATGGAATGATTCACACATTGTAGGTTAACAATTTTATTGAATGGGGTTTGCTCCCGAACTCGGATCCCATATGGAACTGTTAGCCTACAATGTGAACGTTGCTGCATTTCGTTTTTCACCCTTCATTCCATTTTTATCTTGTAAATAAACCTTCATTTAGGCAATCTATGGATGTGAAAAATGATCAAATTATTAAAATCTTGATCTACACATCATCTAGTACCTCATCGTATTTGTGCGTGCACATTATGCAGGGTAGACACGTCAATATTTAGTGCGATCCTGTGACCCTGTGCAACGTAAGCAGAGCAACCTCCCCTGTTTTGTTTTCTTTCAGATTTCCAATCTGGCCCGGCTTGTGAGAGCATCGCATAATCGAAGCAATAGTCTTTGCGCATTAGATTGCCCAGTTGGTTACTATAATGGTGGCCTGGGAGATCAGGAGTGTACCTGAATATATATTGTCTTTGAAAATTGTTGGCTAGAGACAACATACACGTGTCAAGAAAATTAACAAACATAAAATAAGAACTAGTGGTGCTACATAATCCACATACTTCTCTGTATTGGTTTTCTATTTCCTTTTGTCTCGTCTAGTTTTTCGGACTTGCCAAATACTCTTGCCAACTGTCATCTATCGCCGCTCAAAGTATGTTTTTTTAAAAAAAATTCTTAATTTTTATTTTTCCTACTAGTAGAACGGATATATTATTTTCCAAATATTTAAGAACAATTAAACCTCGTTCTAAATAGCAATTTTCTTTGAAAAATTTGAAGCCGGGTTTAAGAAAATTGCGTTTAAGTGCAAAATTCGAAATTTGAAGCTCTATTTCACAGAAAATTTTTGAGTTTTCGAAAAATTATATTTGAGTTGTTTGAAAGACTTCAACCCACATATACAATAGTGTTTACAAATTACTGTAAATGTGTATATTACTGGCGTGAGAGATCTTTCAAAAAATTACATTTGTGTAATTTTTGAAACTACAAAAAAATACCCCGAAATGAGCTTTACATCATATTGAAGAGTGAGATTAGCTCTATCAATTCGAAAAGTTTGAAGAAAAAATTTGGAGCCGTTTTTTATAAAATGGCATTTGGCATTTGAGCGTTTCTAAAAATGCAGAATTTTGAGCTAGTTATCACACAAAACGGTTGTGTTGTCGAATAACTTCATATGACATAATTTGAAACACATATAAATATAATAATGTGAATAAATTGCCGCTAACATGAATATTAAAGACGTGGAGACAAGTCAAAAACTTAAGAAACGTATTTTTTTAAACAAAAGATTATAGCGATATGGCATTTATTTCAACTTATAGAGTGCATTTCGCACTATCCCTATCAAAAGTTTAAAGAAAAAATTAGGGGCCGTTTTTGAAAAACGTTTGTTTTTATAACTTTTTAAAATTGCACATGTTGCACGCAATATTGCGCAGAAACTACTAAAATGTTCAAAGAAAATGCACGACCTTAATGAAAGAATGCATTATGGAGAACAAATTTTATTTGAAATAAAAATCTGTCTTCAATTTTGTAGTTTTAGGAAGACACGGAAAAATTCAAATATTATTCGAAAATTCAGGGTTAACAGTAAAAACAAGCTCTATACCACCTTTATAAGTGTATTTTACTCTATTCTTACAATAAATTTGGGGGGGGGGGGAATTGAAAGATTTCGGAGAATGG